CAAACTAAATAGGCCTAAGTATATAAAAGTAACATTAAAATTAATAAGAAATAATTTACTATCATAATGCATACAGTATTACACAGTAAGAGTAATCATAGCATATTAAAATAATCCGGTAACACTTACATAGGCAATACAAAGAGTAATAACAATCACTAAATGAAAATAATAAATGTTCGTCAGTTATACCAAATAATTTATCTAATCGACACCCCTAGCAAACACCGGGCAAGCTGACTAAGTAACCAATGACCAATCAGTGAACGGTATGGTACTGTACGATATTACTATCTGAATAACTGCAATGGCAATACAAAATATTTGCTAACAATGCACAAAGTAAAATATTAAATGTAATAAATTCATAATTAATAGTTATCGTAAAATGCAATCTCTGTATTGGCACATCATACAATGATTCACTTAACACGTAATTAGTATGAGTCATCTCATCTACTTCATGGTCAACCTACAGTAGGTGGCCCAACCATGCATATTATCTTTGTACAGTATCTATAAACTACATAAAAAGTGCATTATATACTACATGCATCTCAAAAGTTAAACAACTGATAATTAATATGAAAATAATTCACAAACTTATTGTGAAACAGTTAACTAAAGTTCAGCATTATATACAAAAAAATAGTTTTGTAATCTGATCTGCCAAGTCAGTCAGCAAAGTCTTTCACTTAAACCTCTTATAAATATTACAAAGTATAAACTAATATATGGTAAACACTAACATATTTTATATAATGAACTTATCAAATCTAAACAATATAAACTCAAAACTACACCCTTTCAGAATGATAAAACTTTAGAGATGTGATTACTGTGTCCTGCTGCTCCAGTGGAGTTTTCAGCAGTAATGAAACACACAAAAAAACTGTCTGTTACCAAACAAACTTGATTGGGGTGTTAATGCACCCTCTATTAACCCTTTAAAATGAGATGAACTATTTACTTGAGGTGGTATGAATATGGTAGTAATGAGGCATTCTCCCTCATCAGGGTAATAAACCAATTGGGCAACCTTGTGGTTAGTGGTCAAAAATTTGTGGAAAATACGGTGTACGGTAAGAATGGCCCCGGTAAAAATGGCCCGGGAAAAAATGGCCCCGGAAAAAATGCAAATGCAATTAGTATAAACAATCCGCAAATGAATAGGTGTTCGCGCAGGTAGGGGCTGTGTCCGCAACTGAATAGGAGTTTGCGCCGGTAGGGGCTATGTCCGCAAATTAATAGGCGTTCGCGCAGGTAGGGACTTAAACATAACAATAACAACAATACAGTAATAATAAATAAATAAATAAAATATTTGTGTATAAATATACAAATTACAAAGAAATACAAATAACAAATATAATTCTGTATATTGGAAGAATTCAAAGACTAATAAGACTACAAATAAAAATAAGACTGGTGGATATCAAACAAACAAAACTACTTATTATAACATTAATAACACTATTTAGTGATTGGTATTGAAAAGTAAAATATAAACCTTAGGTCTGAAGACAATTACTCAGTCAGACTCACTATCCTTGAGTCATCTAAACATACCTACATGGCTAAACTTTCTTTGATATACTGTAGTTTTGTAGCGCGGCTTTTTTTTTTCTTCTATATTTTAAGCATTTTAAATAATAGCTCTGCACTTTTGCATATTTTTATATTTTATTAATTCTCCTATATAACTGGTATGCATTTGATGTTCACTGCTATAGTTACTCATATTGGATATTTTCATGACCCTGCTACATACATTTCAAGTTCATTATTATTTGAGAGGTTATTTTTAATATTAGGATTGGCCTATTCAGGCCACTACCTACAGCTTCTAATAGCAGTTATATAGCAATCACTGCGTTTACTATTATCTGTTAAAGTTTTTTGGGGCTGGGGTTGAAGCACATCAGCAGTTTACCATTGAATAGGCCTTTGCGGCGACAGATGGTTACTAATAAGTCATGTATACAAGTATTCTTTCTGGCAAACAAATTTGTTTCTTAAAGCCCTGAGAATGGACAAGGTTACCGTATGTAATACCAAGGACATTTGAGCTTTTGGTGTGCAATTCAATGTAGTTGATAGAAGCTTTTTTAAATACAACGTAATATGATACTTCATTATATTAACTTACAGAATTTGTTTTATATTAACATGATAAATGACATAAATATCTGTC